GACGTTGAAAACCAAACATTATTTGAAGTTTAATTAATCTCTGTGGGGAGAGGAGAGTATCAATTGTTTATAAAAAAGAAAATAGTTATACTTTGAAAATCAAATACAAAACAAACATAGATGGTGTAGAAAGAAATGAATGTGATAATGAACAGTGCGAAAGATGTTTTCTTTTTTTATGTATTTTAAATACCATTCTCAGTAGTTTGCATACACGATCCTGCCGCGGGATTTGAACCCAGGGCCTCCAGTCTTGCGCGAGAACGCTTAGACTCTAAACCACTGAGCTTTCCAGCATCCAACAGTATTAATGTCTAACCTCAACCAATCCACGAAATTGCGCAACCATCTTCCATTGTAGATACTTGTATCTACCCAACACGGATTAGCTACACTGGTCACAGCTTCTCACTAGAACTCCGAGAATTTCATCACGAAGCTAGTTACTAGTGAGCACATGGTAATTATCAGTATAGGGTTGTGGAAATTATAAAGTTTTTGATTGAGATCATGAACTGCTTGATGTTAGGTCACCACTGAAAATCTGGAAGCACTGGACGACCGTTTTGTCTTATTGTAGAACTCTTCAGCATTGCGCATTCACGATCTCAGTTGCGGGATTCGAATCCCACACCAATCAGTTCAGGATCTCAATCGAAAAACTCCACAACCCTATACTAATAAATATCGTTCTACAATACGTTTTTTAAAAATTTCAGTTTCATTTCAAATAACTTTTCATAATAAAATGTGTTAAACAATGGATTTCATTCAATCACATTTATTCATTGCCTTAATGAAAATCGAATGAATCATTTTAATTACATTATTGAAATTCATTTTCATTTCATTAGTAACTTCTTTCAATGATGAAGTCTAAACCAAAACGATTTACATAATTAAATAGATGTACATATGTTAAGTACTTTTATATAATCACTTAGTTTATGCTTCATATCTTTATGTTACTAAAGTGATTAATATTCCAGACTTTTACTTTAGATATATATATATACGGGTGTGAGCTACTTATATTCATATAAGTAGTATAGAACGATAGTCAGGAATAAAATGTATTTTAGTAGAAGATCGAGAAGGAAAGAACAGAAACGGAAAGCAATTTGTATGAAACTACAGTAACAATAAAAACTGACATGATTAACTGATATTTGTAAAAGAAACAGACAAGTTTGAGATAAATGATTGACATTTTACCAATTATCATTTACTGTATGGTTTTCAGATTTTGGTAATTTCGAGTTGTAATATACTCGATTGTCCCCACTTGTGTTCTTATTCATCACAATTTTATTGATTGTAACGTTTTATCCAATCTTTTATAAGTGTGGTTATATTGAATTGGTGTTTTCTATGCTTTGTTATTTTGTGCTTACAGGAGCCGTCAACTTTCTACTATCCGAAATATACCATATATTGACTACTTAATTAACCCAGATTTACATTTAAGGTTGTTTATAGAATCTGTCTAGATCTATCAAAGCATCTATTCGTTTGCTTTACAAAGTGAGAAATAGTACATTTGATTTGTCTGTGAGATTAAATCTGAACCAAATATGTTCTATCTCTACACTTAACTTTTGTGCAGACTTTATTATTATTATTATTATTATTATTATTATATTATTTCAACAGTTGAGATCATGAGTCAGTTGAAGCTAGACCACTACCATGGGAAACCTGTGAGCACTGGATGGCCGTTTCGTCCTATTGTGGGACTCCTCAGAAGTGCACATCCACGGCCCCGCCCACAAAACCCCTTCTGATACTAATCAACATATACTCACTAGTGACTGGCTTCAAAGAAATTTCTCCTGCCGAACCACTTTCTTTACTCGTTTGATATACAGTCCAAACTTATGTCCTGTATCAATATATGTAACACCTGTAATATTTTCACATTATTTCATTAGTGAGAAAAACACATTACATTTATTTTATTGCATTTCAATAAGTAACAGTTCAGTCGTCTAGAGTTTAAGCGTTCACGCGAGAGAATGAAGGTCCTAAGTTTGATTCCCGCTTGTAAGATCCTGAATGCACACCGCTGAGGGAACTCATACTAGGACGAAATTGCCGTCTAGTACTATCAGGCTTTCACTCGTGGTCTAACTTAGATCAATTCGTAAATTCAACCTGAAAATACTGCGATTTCTACAAATGCCGATACTGACAAGAATTTATTACTTGATTCATTAGTTTGTTATCTGTTCTCCGGCACACAAACATGTAGTGTTAATATATTAATTTGTAAGCAATTGAATCTTTCTATTGTTGGTGTTGGACCTGAAATTCGTTACTTTCTGTTTTGCTGAAAAAAAGATGTAATCATTGAAACTATAAGATTTAGTACTGTCGATTTATTGTTCAGGAAGTATGAACATTCACTTTTCATTCACCGCCATGGATCTCAACACGTTTTTATATATATAACGTAATTAACTGATTATTTTGATTGATTTCAAGTTATTCTTTAAAGGAATCCATGGCAATAACCATAAGGATAGTTATTTATCTCAGTCACTCATCAGTATATAATTATAAGACACACTAAACAACATTGTATAAATACAAATCATGTTTCATACAATCGATTCCTAATACGAATTTGAATAAACCTATAAAACAATTAGTGAGGCAGAATTATATAAATACATTTCGGTTTATGGTATCTCGTCAGTCACTTACAATCATATTCATCATAGAGTGTAACAATAAGATATGATATGATATAATATGAAGTAATCAATATTGATTGCGACTGACGAGGAAATGAGGAGACGATGTCGGAAGTGGATAGAACATGACAGAAGAATACGGAAATCATGAAACTGTATCACAAGACAAGAGCTAACTTGAAATGCTGAATGGAAACGGAGAAGAGGAAGACCAATGAATACACTGTGTCGGGAATTGGAAGCAGATACGAAAAGGGTGAGTATTGACTAGAAATGAGTGGAAAGGATTGTGCAGGACAGAATTGGATAGAGGGTGTTTGTGGGAGACCAATGCTCCTGCATGAGGGGTAACAAGTGCAAGAAAGTAATTGAGTAAGTAATTTGGAATAAAAGATTTTTCGAAAATGAGTAAATTTGAAAATAGTGTTCAACACAGAATTATCTTAAATAACTGGTGATTGAGAGTGTGAAACACTAGATAAGAGTTTCTTTCTATAACACTGTAATAATATAAGACTACTGAACGATATTCATCTTTCAACCTCTCCTTCTATAGATGAAACCGGTTACTAGTTTGTTAACTTTACACCACTAAGTTGTGATATATTGGTTCACATTTAGAACTTTCTTATATTTTTCGATATTGTTTGGTTAACATCGATTATCATGGGTTATAATACCCATTACTCGAAATATAGTGGTTAGCAATGAAGTGCTTAATTATGATTGGAAGACGTAGTTCGTGGGGTGACAGGATTTAATTAGTAGGTAAGTAAGTTAGTAATCAATATTGGTGATATAGAGTATAATAATAGTATAATATATACGAATATTTGTCAAGATTAGAACGAATAATTTGACAGTAATTGAGCGCCCAGTATAGAGAAGTCATTATATGTCAAAATTATATTTGAATTATTCTCAGCGATTGAAATTTAACTAAATCCAACGTTTCGTCCAGCTAACTTGTCTGGACTTCTTCAGGGTAATAATCAAAATCAAAATTATCAAGGAAATATATAGCTTTTTAATAATATATATAAATATATGTAAACAAATGCAGGGCCACTTAAAAGTAGTGTTACTTAATTCATCTCGTTGATTCCGAATGGTAGATAATTACCACTTCATCTCTATATGACTTCAAAATTTATTTTCAATTAATCTGAAACTTTCATAAACTTCTCAAATCTCCTATAATTATAACACAATTCATTTTTATCAATTTCCGGACTCAACATAATTAATGTTTCAGCCTTTTATGTTAGTTTGTTTTTGTTTTACTTCCATCATCAAATGACCTCACACTTGCTTATCCATATATATATATATATATATATATATATATATATATATATATATATATATATATATATATATATTCAAACAGTTGTAAACAACTGATGAAAAACCATGAAATAAAATGACGAAATCGGATTATTCCACGTTCATTTCTATTTTGACCTTATAGCAAACATTATAAAATTAATTTATATACGATTAGCCTAAGCATAAATTTTACACACTTGACATTTAATTATTAGTATCAGAAGTGGATTTATGGAGATTATAGTAATTTCAATAGTTGAGATTATGAGTCAGTTGAAGCTAAACCACTACCATGGAAAATCTGGAAGCACTGAATGGCCATTTCATCCCATCGTGGGACTCCCCAGCAGTGTGAATCCACGACCCTGCCTCACGAGATTCTAACCCAGGAACTATCAGTCTCGTACGCGAGCGCTTAATCACTAGACCACTGAGCTGGTGAACATCCAACGGTGTTCATATCCAACTTTAACCAATCTACGAAACAACTGATGAAAAACCATGATCATGATCTCAACCATTTAAATCACTATAACATCCACAAGACCCCTTCTGATACTAATCAACATATACTCACTAGTGACTGGCTTCAAGAGATATATCCTGGAGTTCTAATGAGAAACAGTGACCAGTGGAGTTCAACCGGGTCAGTTTTGAGATAGTAACTCACTGATAACAATGGTGGATGTGTCGCTCAATTTCGTTGATTAGCTGAAATGAGACATTAACACCATTTGATGCCGGCGCAGTGGTCTAGAGGTTAAGCGCTCGTGCGCGATACTGATAGGTCCTGAGTTGGAATCTCGTGAGGCGGGTTCTTGGGTGTGCACTGGTTAGGAATTCCACAATAGGACGAAACGGCCATCCAGTGCTTATAGGTTTTCCATGTTGATCTAGCTTCAATCGACTCATGATCTCAATTGTTGAAATTATACGATTCACTTAAACACAAATTATTATTGTTTTTTTACTTACTTGACATTTAATTATTAATTTATCATGTTGATAACCAAGTTTTCTTCTTTCTTCATTATTTGGTAAACTTTCTAAAAATCCAGCTAATGAAAATGCTGCACTAGCTGCATTATATTCATCAATTTTATGTTTATTATAAAAAATATATTGAGCATATGTAGCTAAATCTAATACAAAATGTCTTGGTGTTTTCCAACCTTTCATTTGTAAATATTTTAATCCATCTGGTGAAATTGGACGAAAATTACATACAGTTACTGATGGAAATGGACTAATTGTATGACGTAATACACGTGGTGGATGTATTACATTATATTCTAAATATTGTCTAGTTAAAAATAGCATACATATAAAACAACCTAATATTAATATAAATACTAATATTAACCATAATAAACGTAAATAACGATTATGTGCACGAACTATACGTGGTAGACCACGTATTGTTGTATTTTCACAAAAACGTTTTAATTCATCTAATATTATAACAGATAGATGATCATGTTTTAATGATGTTGACGGTGATGGAGATACTGGCGGTGATAATGATGATGGTGATCTTCTTGAATTCTGTTGTTTACTTGAATTAAATCAATGACATTATTCATTGTTTTATTTTTATTTAAATTAAGATGATCCAATGATAATGATTCATTGATTTGTTCATAACATTTTTTAATCTCTTGTATCAAAATATAACATAATGGACATATAGAATGTAAATTATTTTTATCAGAATTTTCTATATTTTATTTTCATTATTATCAGTAGTATCGGACATAGTTTTTATTTCTTTTTGATTATTATAATAATAATAAGATCAAATCAAATCGACGATTTATTCCTTTTTATATCAGAAAATACTTTATTTTGATTGGATTACAGAGATAAATTTTGATTGGTTATAAAATGAAGTTATTTGTTGCTATTGTTTATTTATTTACATTAACACATAGATATTGGTACAAGGAGGCACCAAATATATGTGCGCTACACAAATCTCATTTGATATGTGTGAGAGCTGTGATACCATCCAGGTGCCCTAACCGAAGCAGGTGGTTTTCTGTAGGGGCCACTCCCCGAGCCTTCGACCTGAAGGTCTGATCCACAAGGCAGTGGAGCATTGCAAGGAGATGCAGTCCCATAGTAGCCGGTGACCAATAATTCGTTCATACGCCATTTGTTCCTTCAGGATACTGGAGCCCATGTGCATTATTAGTTTGGAATCAGGGTTTTTCAACTCCCCTAGGTGAATCCTCCGTATCCACCAACCCAGTTAAAGCGCCGGATATTCACTTTTCTTCCTTTCAATTTCGTAAACAACAATAATGTCACGAGAAGGTACTGAGTAGGACTTCCCTAGCAGTGGCTGTATACGTGTGGCCATGTGAGAGCATTTGGAGAGTGAGAGCAGACTCTCCTCACTCTCGGCCGTAACCAGGGCATTTGTTGTTTTTCTATAATTTGACTTATGAATATAATTCTACATTTTGAAACTATTCAACAAGTAGATTTGGAATTGGATTTCAAATTGGTAAGTTGCAACAATAGTGTATATTTTATTGTTATTAATAGTAAAATTGAGTGATTATTGTTCTAGTTTGCCATAACAACATAGTATCAAGTAAATTGTAATGAGATACTAAGTCACGTAAATTAATCGTTACAAAGTTTTTGAATGAGATCATGAACTGATTGATATTACACCAAAATTGAAAACCTGGAAGCAGTCCTATTGTGGGACTCTTCAGCAGTGCGCATCCACAACACCGCCCGCGGGATTCGAACCTAGGGTTTTCAGTATTGCGCGCGAACGCCTAACCTCTAGACCATTGGGCCAGCATCCAACGGTGTTAATGTCTAACCCTAACCAATCTATGATGGTCTAAAATCAATCGGTTCATGATCTCAATCAAAAACTTAACGATCTCCATAACCCCTAAACTGATAGTTACAAAGTTGTTGAATCCCAATTATCAACACCTGGTATACTAATGGCTTATAGTAAATTTGTCTTTTATCAATAATGAAAAAACAAAATACGACACACAAATCTATAACTGAGACTGATAACAGTTTTGTAGTGTCGTTTATTACGTTAGATCCATATACCTTATTCTAGCTTCCGGACAGGTAAATCTATTCATTCTCCTTGAGTCACATTTTGACCTTGTTAATTATTCACTTATCTCAATCTTGACGGTTTTTATATGAGCATATTGTGTGTACGCTTCTTATCCTATTCATCATATGTCTGTAGCATACATTTTTGTGTAATTATAGATATTAATTACCGCTTGATTAAACTGGATTTGGCTTACATGCCTTCTCCACTGTGTCATTTCGCTCTCTTTTCTTTGCTTCTTTCGTTGCGTCTCTCTGATTATCTGTTCCAATCAACGATTGTACAAAATATATGTATTGGGAAATCCGTTCTCGTACTTGGTTTAATTAATTCTGTTATTCACTAAAGTGATCTAAGTCGATGATTATATACAAGAATTGACGACATGTATATCTCAATAGCAATCAGAAACCATCTCATTGGGGTCAGATCCCGGGCCACTAAAGTTTGATTCTACGGAGTTCAGATTATCCTTAAAGTTTGGTTGTACTAATATCTTAAATCCATAATTCATAAAAATAGTAAATAATTTAATTGACTTAGAAAAGAAGTGAGATTTGAAAACTAGTAAGTATTAAAAAGCCAATTCATTCTAGTCTAAAGCTTTTCAGTATTATGTTTTCTCAACTCCATATAAAATCAAAACTAATGTCTCTCAGTTTTATGATAAGTATCATACTTATAAGGCATTAAGTTAACATCAAATAGTTTAAATAAATAAATTCACTTACTATGAGATATCTTCCTAACTCTACAATGAAAAGTAGTCTATCATTAAGTTGGAACATTTATTTTTGTAAATTCAATGGTTGAGATCATGAGTCAATTGAAGCTAGACCACTATCATGGAAAATCTGGAAGTACTGGATGGCCATTTCGTCCTATTGTGGGACTCCTCATTAGTGTGCATTATTGTATTAAATATACTAACAAACGATATCCAACAATAATTCTATCATAAATTTAATAATTGAATTCATGGGTCAATTCAAACTAGACCATCACCATGAAAAACCTGGAAGCACTGAATTGTCGTTTCATCCTAATATGGAACTCATAAATCTTTAGAGATCTAATATTTACCTTATCAGAATAGAACAAAATAGTCACATCATATAAAGTTTACTTCATTGCATTTAAATAATCACTTAGTGATAATAATAAAATGAAATTGATAATAAACATATATTTTTATTATATCCCAATGAGTAAGAAAAAGAACTATATTGCTGACGTTTCGTGACTTAATATAAGCTAATTCTTCAGAGAAATTTATTGACCGAAATTCAATGAATACAAGTTATTAAAAGGAAAAACCATTCAACTCAGAGAATGAAACTCTATCAAAAACATTTATCTGAATTACAAATCTTCTCCACCATCTTGAAAAACAAAATGCAGAATCTATTTTTGTTAATACAATCAAGATATTCTACATGGTTTCCTTTGTACTATTTAAACTTGTGTTAATTGAATCTTAGTTAATAATTTTCTCTAAAGTATTGGCTTACATGAAGTCACGAAACGTCAGAAATATAATTTTTTCTACTCATTCGATTATAATAAAAATGTATGTTTATTATTATTATTATCAGAAGAGGTTTTGTGGAGATTTTAGCAATATTATAGTTCAACCAAGTTTTTTATGAGAGAGTAACTCATTGAAGACAATGGTGGATGGTGGCACAATTTCGTAGATTGGTTGAAGTTAGAGATTAACACCATTGGATGCTGGCCAGCTCAGTGGTCTAGAGGTTAAGCGCTTGTGTACGAGACTGATAGGTTGTGGGTTGGAATCTCGTGGGGCGAGATCGTGAATGTGCACTGCTTAAGAGTCCCATACTAGAACGAAACGGCCGTTCGGTGCTTCCAGGTTTTACATGGTAGTGGTCTAGCTTCAATTAACTCATGGATCCAACTATAAAAAATATGTATTATTAATTCTCGACAGCGTGCTCAATTTATTTGAAACAAACAAGTTCAACATTGTTACTTACATACTTACGACTGTTAAATACTTTCTTATAGTCAATGAAGTTTCTGTATAGTAACGAGTTTCATTCAATTTATTGTTCAACGATAATTTGTAGTGTCATGATTTGGTCCGTACACAACCGGTCATCACGGAATGTGGCCTATTGATCTCGAAGTTAGAAATCTACACAATTTATCATTCGGTTCAACAATACTCAGTTAAAAGGTGTTTCCTGGTGCCAATAGTATTGTGATGCCTCTAATGACCCCACACTTTCTGAGGTCTCCTTTCTTTGGTATCTTGATGAGGTATCCTTCTTTCTAGTCTGTTGGTACTTGTTCCTTCACCCAAATCTTCCTGAATAGGATGTGGGGTATGTTTTCAGTTACTTCTATGTCTGACTTCAGTGCTTCGGCTGGTATGTTGTCAGGTCCTATTGCCTTCCCTCTCTTGATTTGTCTAATGGCCATCCTGATTTCTTCCGTCGTTGATGAAACGACATGCATAGAAAGGTCTGTAGGTGCTGCTTCAATACCCGGTGGATTCGATGGATCCGGTCTATTTATGAGTTCCTCAAATTATTCCACCCATCCGTTCATCTCTCCTTGAATTTCACTGATTGGCTTGTCTTCCTTGTCCTTGACCGGTCTCTCTGGTTCACTATATTTCCCCGCCAGCTTCGTCGTGTCATATAGTTGTCTGATAGTTTGTTCTCTTGCAGCTTTTTTCACTGTCGATGTTAGGTCTTCCACGTAATTCTGCTTGTCAGATTTCATGCTCTTCTTCACTTGCTTGATTCCTTCGGAGAATTCAATTTGTGCTTTAAATTTCTCTGTCTTTTCCAGCTGTTGTTAATTTCTGCCTTCTTCTTCTTCCTTTCTTGAATCTTGTGCATGGTTTTGATAGAGACCTAGATCCAGCGCAGTCTGGATTCCGTAAGCATCGATCGTGCACAGACTGAATTGCAACACTACGGATCATCATTAAACAATCAATCGAATAAACTCGTCACTATACATCAACTTCCTTGATTATGAGTAAGCATTAGACAGTCCGGATAGAAGAACATTATGGAAACGTATTCCATAATATGGAGTACCTGAGAAGATCTTGAATTCATACGCGGACTACAGTGCAAAGTGGTGCGTGGAGAACTGCTGACAAACGCATTTCATGTAAGGACCGGAGTCAGATAAGACTGCCTAATCTTTCTTCTGGTGGTTGATTGGATTATGAAGACCTCGA